ATCACTTTGAAGCGGTTCTTACAAAAAAAATATATATTTGTTCTGATGACTGGGTCTTGTGCAGTGCGTGGTAAAATAAATAACATCATTTTCTCAGTACTGGATCTTAGAGTTTCTGAAATAAAATGTTCCCTCTCGTTGAATAAAAACTTGCTTTGTAGATATTGTAATGAAAGTAATAAATTGAGTATTTAAATTTAGTTATTTAGTTTCCATTTATAACTCTGAATGTATCGTATTTATATGATCACAGTAAGGCAAATTTTGGGGACCAGTGGTTGGAAGCCATTCCCAGGATATGAGTGAATGAATTTATGTGACATTTTTGGAAATATTATTTTCCCCATGTGGTTTGTTGATAAAAGAGTGTCTATTTTTATAACATTCTTTCCAGTATTGTTACTCTGTTGTAGAGAAAATGACAAACCCTGCATTTGGACATCAGGAGAGCGGAAGTACTAGAATATCCATCGCTGCAAGCTTTTCACCTGGTGCTGTCAGTTTACCCACTCCCAATTTGGGACTTTTACGTAGAAGTAACTCGAGTACGAGCCTGAACTCAGTGTTGTCACTAGTTGATACAATTACAGGAGAACAACACTTCAGACTGTGTATTCATTGCAAGCAGGTACTGATGCCGTGTTGATTACCGAAACAATTTAGCAAGTGTCTTACTTTCTGAATATTCAAGTAATTGGAACATGCGTAATAAAACTTATAGTTTACATTTTTTTTTCACTATTAGCACGTACTTTCAGTTCATAAATTTGTAGTAACGTACGATAAGGCCCCATTAGTTCTATATACTTGAAAGACTGTGATGGCAGCACAGTAAGGTAAAAAATAAAAACATTTTCTTTCTTGTTTTTGATGAAGGGGAAGAAAATCTGTAGGCTCGTAATCTTACTGTAGACTTCTTTTACTTGAAAGTGTGTATAAGCAAGCATGAAGGCATGAAAGGAAGAAACGTAATATTTTCATGAGAGATGGTGTTGTTTTGCGTCATGTTCATATTACGACCATTACGTATATATTTTTTGCATTTTAATATTGAAGCAGGGAAAGTAATTTGTTTTATTTGTTACTTTGGCAGCTTCTGGACACCCACGAAAAACTGAAGGAGAGTCGGACATTGAAACCAATAATTAGCCAGTTCTATGAGAGGTTAAGGTCCTATCAGATGGAGGCAGATCAATTGGCTGTTATGTACAACAATATGTGCCAGTCTCTCAAGTATGTGTACTTGTTAAATCTTCCGAAGTGAGCCATAATAGCTTAGTCATTATAGTGACTGGCTAAGGTTGGATGATTCGTGTTCAAGTCCCTTTAGGATAAGGATTTTTCTCTCATCTGTACATCCAAACCAGCTCCTGCGTCATCTGTTCTCTCGATTGTTTACGTTCGAGTAAAGCATTTGGACCACGAAGCTGACAGCTCACCTTAAGTGTTCTGCCATTACATCCATTCCCCCATTGTACACCATGGGGTATTTTTTCTGTTACTTTGGTCTGAGTGAGCATATATTAAATTTAAAGTTTATTATGTTTTTGTTATGTTTTGTTGTATGGTTAAAGATAAATATTTTAACATTACCAAATTAAAATATGTTTTAGACACAGGTTGCAGAATCCAGTGAAGTTTGTCATGTCATGTTTAATCTGGATTTATGTGACAGCTGCTTTTGAACAAGCACTCATACAATATAAACTGTATTTCCATACAGTTGGGTCGGTCGGTGATTTGTGTTACGTGCTGAAATCACTTTTCCATGCCTTGTGAATAAAAGTAATTTTGTTTTCTTTAATTTGAATCCAACATTTACGTTTGTGTGGGTTAAAAAATATATATGCATCTCCCACAGATGTTATTTCATAATAAGGCTAAATCTCGTGGTCTTGTGACCAAATACAGAAAAAAAATCTCTGAATTGTCACTGTGGAAGGGAAGCATTTGTGCCCCATAAAGTTTTTCAACCAATTTTGTTATATTTTGTACCATTTATTTAAAATTTGGCAGTAAGCATTGAATCCTTACTGCATTGTTATTCATTGTCCTTTATTGAACATCTTCACAAGTGATAACTAACTAACTAACTAGATGGCTTACCGAACCCGAAGGTTCATCACCGAATTAACCAAAGCCCTCCACCGGACCCTGTCCTGGGCCAACGAAATCCAGTCTCCTTCAACTCCTATCTCCCACAGATCCCGCCTCAGATTATCCTCCCATCTATGTCTAGGTCTTCCCAGTGGTCTTTTCCCCTCAGGCTTCCCAACCAATACCCGGTGCACACCTCTTGTCCCATCCATGCGCGCTACATGCCCCGCCAATCTCATTCTTTTTGACTTGATCACCCTGACAATATTGGGGGATAGATGTTTTAAATGTTGATGATTTTGCATGCTAATATGAATTCTTTTATCACCATTGTTAATCATGAAACACCAACTATTTTCAACATACTTGTAATTATGAACCTTTGCAGCTGTGGTGAATCAACTTACAACCTTATGAACGCTCAAGTAGTACGTGTAAAACTGCTTAAACTTGCAGAAAGCATCGACTCATTGAGGTGAGTCACTTCCCAAGATCAATGTTTATATTTTAAATTTTATTCTGCGATCAATCTTTAGGTCTTTGCTAACAAAAATTTTATACACATTTCTTCTCCTGGGTTACATATCCCTTCTGATTGATTTAGACTAACAGTATATAAATGTGAACTTTATGTAATTTCCTCAATTGTTTGTTGTTACATCTTTTCTACATTTGAATAGTGTTCCGAGTTCTTCGGTTTTCTATTGTTGCAAATATTTTTGTATTGTAATGGTTTCCATGCAGTCTTCTGTAGAAATTATTCTTGTGATATTTATTTATTTAAATGTGGGTTTAATGACACTCGCAGTATCTCAAACTATGCTAGGTATATCTGAAAGATTTATGTAAACTGTGGGGGAGTGTTCTACATGGCAGAACAATATATATAACGTTCATATACACATGTGTCTGCAAACACTTCCTTTTTAATTTGCAGCCTGGCAAATTATTCGTGTAGCGACCATTTTAAGTGATAATCGAAACGTAAGTAGTTAACGATATTGAAAGGAAGTAAAGGCCTTTAGACATGTTCCTAATGCCATTGTTAGTATTATTGATTTCAGTTCTGTTAAAACAGCGAAACTGTCGCACTAATGTTTTATGTTGTCTTTCTGAAATGATTTTTCAAATGGGACAGATTTCACATTTCTGTTTACATAATACTGATTACATGAAATATTCTTGACTAGTTTAAAATATATGTGGCTTTCGGGCACATTATTTCTGACGTTAAATGTTCCTTTTTTGTCCTGTCCAGTTTGTACATATAATTATTTATTATATATTGGTAGCAACAAGATAGCCATCCTAGGGACTAAGGATGTTGAGAACCCACCCCGCGGGAAAAGTCTTCAGTTGCAACATATGATTAGGACTGCAGCCACAAGCTACCTCAGGGAACAATTGGTAGCACTTCCAACATTACCAACTGAGGCTCAGTTAAAAGCTCTCCAGAATCAAAGAAGGTGAAGTCCACTTTATTAAAATTGTCATTTATAGGAATTTGTAAAGACCAGAATTTTGTAACTCTGCCTTTGACATAAATATAATTCTGACTTGAATTTCTAATATTGTAGTAAATTAAAATTTTCACTGAATCATTTTCAGTTTCTTTCTTGCACATATGCAAGATTTGAAAATATCTTCCACCCATATGGTAAACAAGTGAATTGCTTATTTTTACTTGTAAAACTGATATTTGAATATTGAAAGTCCCTATCATAACCCCTTACAGATTAAATTGAACTTGACCACTAACAAGAAACTCCACATCCAACAAATCTGTTCTTAAACAATCTCGTGTAATCATCAGGTGTAACGAAATAAAGTACTATAAAAACAGTTGAATGAACCTATCTTTATCATCTGTTAACAGACAAGAGGTTTCTGCACGTATTCAGCAAGAGAAACAGTTGGCAGCCCTAGAAGCACATCAGGCAGAGATGCAACGGAAGAGAGATTCTCCCCAACGCAAAGATATTCATCGTAGCTCCTCGCCTGGTCAGCATAAGTCCGCAGATCAGGTAATTCCACTTCACAAGAGGAATCGGTCGATATGGTGTTCCACGCAAAAACACGTCCATTCAAAACTTACAAACTAAATTTAAAGATTCTGGATTATAGTTAACGATATTATTTGTTTTTGCAGGTTATGTCTGATACAGGCTGGGGCCCAGAAGCTGCCCAGATGTTTGATTCGGAGGATCCGATGATCCAGCAGATGAATATTATTCGCAACTACATAAAGCAAGCGAGGTAAGAAGGAACCATAATATTTCAGGTATCTCGGTAGACAGAGGTATGTACGTGTTGAAACTGATGATGCTGAATTTCAGAGCAGCTCATAAATATGATGAAGTCGCAACATTAGAGCAGAACCTTAAAGAGTTGAAGGAAGAGTACTGGAGACAGCAGCAAGTATGTGACGAGCCTTAAGTGACAAGCATCATGTGAGTAAATATTTTTCGCACTCATTTGTCCACGTACAAAGTCACTGACCACCATTTCAGAGGAGCATATGACCTCCATTATCGGGATGATGAAACATTTGTCAATATCGACCAAACTACTCAGTGCAATATCCAGAGCCATCTTTAAATGTTCCATTTTGATGCCTTTTGTACATTCTTATCTGCCAGCCAGATATTTAACTTCAGGACATAAACCAGTGGTCCCCGACCTTTCTGTGCCTACGGGCACATTTGAGAGTTTATGAGATCGTGGCGGGCACCAACAAATTAACAAAGCCAAATTTTCTTTGTCTGGACAAATAAGATATGGACACCACATAATACGCAAAACAACACGACGTTTAATGATACAAGAAACCATGCAATCAAAAATATGTAGTTTTATAAGTACAATTATTATTACTAAAGTTAGTGTGATGTTTGGCACTGCATTTCATCGGCCAGTTTTTCAAATTTGGGAGTGTAGGATGATGCTGCTCGCAAACAGTCGTCGAGATGGGCATCAGTAAGTCGAGATCTGTGCTTTGATTTTATAATGCTCATGGTTGAACGGCCTTCATTATTCAGTATAACCTCTTTCAATAACAACGTGGGCACCCAAAAAAAGCCTTGGCATAAACAAATGAAGCAAATTATGTAAGTGATTAAAGGGCAAATTCAAGGACTGTTTTACATTCAATAACATTGTATTCTTCTTTCTTTTGACGTAGGAAACACACACAGAGAGACAGTGTTTTGGCCTACAGTTATAATTTGGACACTGAAGTATACCATTGTTAATGGTCATATTGAAAAAGATTAGTCATGAAGACATGAAATTTATTTAAGGATGAATGAAGGTTTGTTAAATGATATTTGTATTGTCTGCATTTATTATATGGAGTGATTTATTTGTTTTTATATTGCAAATATATATTATTTATTATATATGAAGTGACATATTTAAAATATGAAATGTCACTAATAATTTTATTGCATATTTTGTGCATTTTTTCCATGTCTGTAACATTTCTTATTAATGTACTTGAAATTTGCACGTTGATTTAGCAGCATGGCAAAGAGAATAATTAAACTGCATAAGAAAGACAGTTGTCTTAATTTTTGAGAATACACCTACCCATCACAGTACAAGATACATCTAATGGCTTTTGTTGTGATTTGTGTTGGTACAAAGTGTAAAAAACAACCCTGAAAGTTATTTACGTAGTTGGATATTTGGATGAACATCTTCATCTTTTGAGCGTGAAATAAATTTTGGGAGGTTCACGTAATAGCTTGTTTCACATTTGTCTGACTTTGAGAAAAACACTTGAGTTTAAATTGCATCCTTACAGAGTGCCTATTAAAATTATTGGTTGTGTGTACATAACATGAGAACAGGTTGATGGATTTTTTTTATTTTAGGGAGTTATACAGGCTGTTTCCATTTTGGTTCTGATCAGAATCTAATAAAGGTGGTGTTATACTAAAATCTAAACCGAAGTACTAACATAACGTTATATAAATTCAAGTACTGAACTAAAACTCAAATGATTAACCAGTATAACCCAAATGATAAACTTTAACCCGTACTAAACTGCAGAACTACCGTACTGAAAAGTAATTGCCCACGTCTTTCTAAAGTTCTTCTATAAATATGATACATTACATCCGAATACGTAGATTATAAATTAACAAACTTTGATCTACAAAAACAGCTTTTGAGTATGTAGGATTGTATCAGTTTTCTCGCCAAAGAGCATATTGAGTGCAAGCGTCTAGTTTTGCACTGCGTAAAATACAAGGATATAGTTTTGTCCAACTGGGAAATGTAAAAGAATGTGGAATGTTTTCTACGCGAATTTAATGTAGTAGTAGCAAAAGAATTGCTGTATGCTGAACGTTACATAGCTGAAATTGTTATTTGTAAAGTGTCCTTATACTGTTTATAACATAATTCATGGTCCCTTTCAAAGAATAATTCCCTCGTATTGAGTTATGTTGGTATCAGCCGTGCGGTCCCATACTTTGTTTCGAAGGAAACCGGATATGACATGTGGTTCGTTAAAGCGTAAGTTGTGAGTGGGAAAAAAGTCTGTGATTTGTGTATTCTGTCGGTGATTTGTGTAATGTGTGGTATTTATTGTAGTTTGAAGTGTAATAAATCGGATGCAAGCTGTGGAAGTTCTCGTGAAGACCCAGTCTTGCACACGTTTATGGAATACTTGAAACACAGAGGTCCAGATGGTTTTTCAGAATATAAAGTTAATATTGGTAGTAAATGGACTGCCAACTTTGCTGGCTGTGTCCTTTGGATGCAAGGGTCTGAACTAACCTTGCAGCCTTCAGTAGACGATAAATACAATACCCTATTGTGGAACGGGGACGTCTTCAGCGGTTTAATGGTAAGAAAACGAATGTGTGTAGAAAATGTAATGTATCATGTAGTGACTGTAGCCATACAGACAGGAATATAATGATTACACGTTTGAAAGTTGTAGATGCCATTTCTTGCTCTCATACTTAGTTTTACTTCGTAACAATTAAAACTTATAGAAGAAAGATGCACATGTTATGAACAATAACATGTTTTGCACACAGTGCTTCACACATGGGTCATTCTGTCTTAAATCTATAATGCTGTCACCCACATCATCCCAATTTTTATTTTTTTAAGTAGATACACATGACATAAAAGTTTTCCTAAAGTTTTAACATCTTATTGTGACTAAACCACTAGACCCCTAGATGTTTAATGAAACTAGGCAATTGTTAGCACACATTAGGCCATTTTTATCACAGATATGTAAATATCGCCATTTAAAAGTAAAAAACCAAAATTTTGTGTCCAACTGTAGCTTTTATCAGGGAATATGTTGGTTTAAAGTTTATATATGTATATACAATAGTTCTGAGTTATGACTTTTGTACAGGCAGAAGATGGCTGTCTTCTGGGTTGTTGCTCTGTGTAGTCTGGAATTATAGAATTTGTTCAGGACTGTAACTATACAGGGCCATCTGCCATAGGAGGTCACTAGGTGAACCATTGGGAGTTATGACTTCTCTCTATTTATTTGATGGCTTGAAAATTTCCGATTTGTTCTCCTGAATGAGTCATACCTTAGAGACCATGATGTCTGATGGATTGTGCCAGGCAGTTTTTCACACATGCCTTCCTGTGTTTCCGTATAAAGACATGTTAACCACAAAATGTTTCTGTAAGAACCAAGTGGGCACCTTCCTTCTTACTCTGCACCCCAGGCAATGCATCCAGCAATGTTTTTATGAGAGGTTTTTGAAAATTAATTCAGCTGGTGCATTTTGAGTTATACAGCTAAATCTGTACCAACATTAATTTAAATAAGGCATTTTTTTACCTGAGTCTAATTTTGTCATTCTCACAAGCTACTTGATTAAATTAAGATTGTTATGATGATACAATTTTGGTTTCCTATCACAAGTTCTACATTAAGTTCCTCATGCTTTTATTTTTGTTTATGCTTAAGGTAAACCAGGAAACCTCATCAGACACAAAGAAGATAAGTCAGACTTTTACCAAAATAAATGGAATTGAAATTCTAGCAATTCTATCAAGCATTCAAGGGCCATATGCTTTTATTTATCTGGATGTACAGAATCATCATTTGTACTTTGGTCGAGATAGACTTGGAAGACACAGTTTGCTATGGAGCAGTGACTGTGAAGGAGGACTTGTGCTGACATCTGTAGGAAAACGAAATGTCTTGAATTTCAAGGAGGTACCAGCCATTGGCATCTTTAGGATTAATATGAATTCTGGTGAGTTCATCTGTTATTTTACTCTATATAGCTAGATATTATAGTTTTGAACTCATTACTGTAAATTACATAATTATTAGTTGTTATAACTGTGTACCTTTAGTTTTATTTCCTGAATGAAGAAACACCTGAAATAGTGTACCCAAGGTAACTAGAAATAAAAGTCACCTTCCTCTTCTCATGGAAAATGAGCCTTAAAAGTCCATTTCGTAGGACTTCTTAAATTCTTCCAATCACCTGTTGATAATTTATGAATTATACCAAAGTACTGTTGTAAAGTTTCCAGTGAAGTACTAGGTATAATTTTAGTTTGGAAATTGTGCTAATATTACAAAGGGAAATATAATACAACTAATCGTAATAACATGGTTTATTATTATTGCTGTTGTTATTATTATTACAGATCTAGAGAAAATTACTCTTTACCCATGGTCAGACATAGCTGCAGAAATGCTTCAGAATATTGACCAAGACTCCGTGTTAAAAGTTGAAGTTTCATCAGAAACCATACAGTCACCAATAACAGCATTAGGAAGACGCAGTAAAGAGGAACTGTTTGATTCAGAACATCTGCTGAATCAGTATAATACTAAAGTTCTTACAGGTGTTCATGAAATTAGAGATTTTATTGAAAAATTACAGTCAAGTTCAGATATTAAGAATTCTGTTAAAAAATTAGTCTCTCTTTTGAGAAGTTCTGTACGAGTAAGAGTTCAGACACATCCAGGAATTTGTAAGGAATGTTTAGAATGTGCTAGACACTTGCGCATAGAGACTCATATGAGTAAGAATTTTTGTAAATGCTCAGGTTTAGAATATCAGCAACACTTTCTCCAGTGCTCTACAAAAAGTGCCTTGTATGGAGCGCAGCTGTCAGGAACTTCACGCACAAAAAGTGAAGACAGTAGTATTGGTTCGTGTTCAGAAAATACATTAATTGTGTGCCATAATTGTAGTACAAGTTTAGAACATGCGGATGTAAAAGAATGTCCCCATTCAACATCTGCAAGATCTTGTGAAGAAATGTGGACCGGTGGAAATCCTAAATTGTGTAATCATTCAAAAATTGGCATTTTATTCTCTGGTGGTTTGGATTCAACAATATTAGCAGGACTTGCTGATGAATTTGTTCCCCTTGGTGAACCAATAGACTTATTAAATGTTGCATTTGAAAGGGAAAGAAAGAATGGGAAGCCAAATAGAAAGCAAGCAAGAGAGAAAAATCACTTGGACTCGACAGAAAGAAAAAAGAGTTCATATTTAGTTCCAGATCGAATTACAGGCAAGAGAGCGTTGGATGACTTGAAAAGACTGTATCCGAACAGGCAGTGGAATTTTGTGCAGGTAAATAACATTTTTAAAAATCTTATTACGCAATTATCTTCACATGTAGCGACTTTACGTTCAGTCATTGCACTGCTCAAAGCTTCTGAGTATTTCAGTATTAATAAAGAAGATAAAGTGATTTGTTGTAATATGATGTGATGTTACAGGAAAAAACATAGTCACATGTTCATGTGTAGACATTTAAATGCAAAAATAGTACAGTATGATATGTATCTTGAAATCCTCTTATCGTTGTAAACTGTATCATAAAGTATTTTACTGTCTGTAAGATTTCACTGCAGTATGTATAAAATTTCAGGCTGCTTTTGGTCTCTAGTAGAGGGAATGGTTTCTGATGTTCGGCTTTTGCAGTAGAAGTGTTAATAATTGATGAGAGATCATAAAACTTTTAAATCTGTTTTATGAGAAAAATTTCCTTAATCTGTCTCTGTTATGTTTACAGGGGTATCAGATTATGATTCCTTGCTTGCTGAATACATTGAAATAATTTACATATTGCACTTTTTTCCAGATAGATGTAACTCAAGAAGAATTAATCAGAGAACGTGACAGAATCATTTCAGATTTGATATATCCGCTAAACACAGTACTCGATGAAAGTCTGGGTTGTGCTCTCTGGTTTGCAAGTCGTGGTAAAGGCTGCCTCGTGCAACAAAACGGTGCAGAAACGCATTACAGCTCACCTGCAAGGGTAAATATCAAATGCCATTTCTGTAATATAGAGAAATGTGTATACAATAGATGACATTGTAACAAAATCATTGCTTTACAAATTTTTTTTGTTCCCCATTAAACTTTTTAGATTCATATAGTAGTTTATTATTATATAATTCAATTTTAAAAAAATTTTAGTATACTAAAATGAAAGTAAGATCTGTTAATTCGTATTGTCTTGCGACTGTACGGTACACAGTTTCGTAGTGATCATTTTGATATTTTGTCTCGTAAATCACGTAGTATACAGGAGTTCTGTAACAACATTGGTCTTATAGTCAGTCTTTGTCAGCAAACAATATTTGGTGGTGTATTTAATGATGCTTTTTCAAATGCCTGGGTTATTAACATATAGCAGGATGATTGTATGTGTGGTGAATCAGAAAGGATTTGAAAGTAAACAGTTATTACTCATCGCTTAGAAGACGGAGGCAGCAAGGACCTTTGAAACATCGCGTAAACTTCTACCGGACTACACATTACAGCAACCCAGTTATTACTCTGAATTACCTTTATGAAAATCCTCATAACAGACGTACTTTAACCATGAATGTGTTACGGCGCTGTCAGTAATAGATGGCTTTTGTTATTAATTCCATTAGTTAATAGACATGTTAGAAGTTAATTAAATTAGATGAGTGCTACTACCATGTAATGATTTTTTTCTTCCTGCTCATTAAGGAAAATTTTCATGTGAGTGGTATAATGCTACACATTTGTAATGTTACTCGAAAGGTACTTCTTCTCGGGATGGGAGCTGATGAATTGTTTGGAGGGTATAAAAGACACAGGACAGCTCTTAACCTCAAAGGGTGGCATGGCTTAAGGAATGAGCTTCAGCTGGATCTTGATAGGATATCAACAAGGAATCTAGGACGAGATGATCGAATTGTCTCCGACCATGGTTGCCAGGGTAGGCTGCCTTACCTGGATGAATCTGTGGTTTCCTATGTCAGTTCCTTGCAGCCATGGCAAAGGTATTTCACTTCTGAAGTTGTTTCCTATTCATAAGTTAATACTTTCGTTAATGTGATCAGAATACATCGACTCCATGGCATGAAAACAAGGATAGAAGGAAGTTGATGCTTCTGTGCTTTTTTCTATATTGCATCGTATTTATTCATGTGTGTAATCATTTCTCTTTGCGTTTGACGCAACAGTATTTCAAGGATTGTGACAGATAATAACGTGAGGAGCCGGGGTAGCTCAGTCAATATACTGACTGGCTACGGACTGGATGACCGGAGTTCGATCCCCAACAGGGGCAGATGAATTTTCCTCTGGCTTCTGAGTCCAGTCTGGCTCTGGGGCTCACCCAGCCTCCTATCCAATGGGTACCAGGGTCCTTTCCCAGGTGAAGAGAAATTGAGTTTGAGTATCTGACGCATGTGGGTACACATTTTATCAACAGATACTAGTATATTAAATTTTATTTTTGCTTGTTTCAGATGCTGTCCAAAGCCAGAATTTCCACCAGGTGTCGGAGATAAACTGCTTCTGAGATTAGTTGCGTGGCAGCTCGGTCTTCACTATGCTGCAGGGCTACCGAAACGAGCATTCCAGTTTGGGTCCCGAATTGCCAACAGTAAAGAGAGAGCTAATGATGTGTCCAGTCGATTATAGTATGTAATCAGACAGAAATATTGTGACATTTTAAAAAATATACTTGGCTTTTCATTTTGAAGTATGTAAATGCCAATTTAATGCTGCCATGAGGTTACTTGAGGAATTTTAAGTTCCTACATCTTAAAGGTTAAAAGTAAACAAATCTGGAGGAATAATATACTAAAAGATTCATTTCCTTTAAGTTTAAGGAATGGAAGTGACAAGGAATCAGATTTTGCACTTTCGGAATAGATCATCTAGCTAAAAATTGTCATACATTTTGACTTGAATGGTCAGTTTGAATTTTCCACTCGTCATTTTAAATCTTCTTCAGTCTTGTACTAAGCAGAATAACTGAACAGAATTAATGCTTGAGTTTAAACTTTATTACTTGTGATGCAACTTAACAATGAGTTTACATGTCACTTACTAATAATCTCATTTACAGGCATAAAAGCACCTCGTCATTTTAATCTTTGATCTAGTATTAAGCGATTTATACAGTTCAGTTTATATACAAAATCAAAGTTATGCAGTACATTTTAAAAGCTATTTATTATTTTAATTTCCCTAAAAATCTATTTAAAAATAAACTGCCATTTTGAAGGGGGGAGGTTTTATCTTCTGCAACCCAAGTTTTAAGTAGCTGCATGATTAAAAAAGTGTTCTTTTACAAATGAATGTCGGTAATATGGAATTACATATGTTAATGTTTCATATCAATCAGCCATTTAATTTGGGGGGGGGGGGGGGAAA